AACTCAGGCTCTGAATACTGTCCCAGAGCTTTTTACCCAAAGCAAGCACTCTACCACTTGAGCCACAGCGCCACTTCCGGCTTTTTTTTCTTTTTACTTATGTGGTACTGAGGAATCGAACCTAGTGCCTCAGGCATGTAAGGCAAGCGCTCTACCACTGAGCCACCTTCCCAGCCCCAGAAGAATTTGAAATAATTCAAATCACAGAAGAACAGGAGAATGGCCACTGAATCTCAAAATTCTTATAGAAACAAATGGCTTGTTTAAGCCATAATGAAAAACAAGATCTAATTGTCTGCTATTGGACAAGACTTAGCAGATATCCAAGTTAAAAGTCCTCTAAGCCAGGAACTAGTGGATCAAGATTTGAAGGAAGCCTTGGCAGGAAAACTCCTGAGTCTCTTATCTCTAATTTATGACCAAAAAAAAAAAAGCTAAAGCTAAATAAGCTTCTCAAGGACATTCAGGCTGAGACTAGGAAGGTCACTCCATTCTGCCTACTTCTCAGTGACCCAAGGATTCTTCAAGGAGGGTGGCAAAGATTTGCCGTGAAGGCTGCCGATGGAGCCTGGGATGGAAGGAAGTACTTCACTGTGGGCTTTGGAGGCTGCTGAAGAATCAAAGGAAGGAATCAGGGGAGGGGAGAGGGGGGAATGGAATGAAGGGTAGTGATTGCCCCAACTGCAGAGGACCTCTGCCCTTCCTGAGGTGGCTGGGAGGGCAAAGGTCATTGTCAATATTGTCATCCTCCTGTCCCTCTCTGGAGGGTGGAAGGCTTACTCTCCAGAGCAGATTGGTGGGTCCCTCTGGACCTTGAGCCTCTTGAGTCTCTAGCCAGGACCCTGGGGTCTTGAGGTCCAGCAGCTCTCACCAAGACCAACACCTAGGCCAGTGCCAATCACCTTACATCTTCCCACAGGCCGTCCCCTTCTCCACGTCAATCCAAGGTGGTCTCCAGGAGGGACTTCAGATCATCATCCAGGGGACCGTCCTTCACTCTGCTGCAAGCAGGTATATGAATGGCACAGCCACTGACAACCATGGGGCTGGTGGGTGTGAGGAGCAGGCCCCTGCCCAAGCCCCTGCCACCACCACATTCAGAGTCATCACCAGCATAGACTCCAGGGTGAACGGGTCCTGGGACTCCTGCACACTAGGGACCTTGCAGTCTAGAGAGGGAAGCAGCTGGTTCCTGGGCTGACCACTGATCCAGTAACTTAGAGTTGCAAAAATAAGTTTCCATTCTTCTACAGACATGAAAACATTTACAGTTCCCATTGAAAGAAATGTGCTTAGCCCCGCACCTGTGGCTCACACCTGTAATCCTAGCTACTCAGAAGGCTGAGATCTGAGCATCACAAAGCCAGCCTGAGCAGGAAAGTCTGTGAGACTCTTATCTCCAATTAACCACCAGAAAACTGGAAGTGGTGCTGTGGCTCAAGTGGTAGAGGGCTCGCCTTGAGCAAAAGAAATCAGGGACAGCGCCCAGGCCCCAAGTCCTTACAACTGACAAAAAGGACAGAAGGAAGGAACGAACGAAGGAAGGAAAGAAGAAAAGAAAAAAGAAAAGCGCTAACGACATGCTTGGGGCCCTGGGGTCATTCCCAAAACCACAAAAACTAAGGAAGATGGAGGAGAAGAAAGAGAAAAAGAAATAGGAGAAAGGAGAAAATGGTGCTTTTTTTGTGTGTGTGTGTCAGTTGAGGGGCTTGAACTCTGGTGCTATCCCTGAGCTCTTTAGCTCAAGGCTAGCATTCTGCCACTTGAGCCACAGCACCACTTCTGGTTTTCTGGTGGTTTATTGGAGAAAAGAGTTCCATGGACTTTCCTGCCTAGGCTGGCTTTGAACCACGATCCTCAGATCTCAGCCTCCTGAGTAGCTAGGATTACAGGTGTGAGCCACCACCAGTGCCTGGCTATTTTGCTTGTTTGTTTTTTTTTCTCTTTTTTTTTTTTTTTGGGTCCGGTCGTGGGGCCTGAACTCTGGTCCTGGGCGCTGTCCCTCAGCTCTTCAGCTCAAGGCTAGCGCTCTACCACTTGAGCCACAGCGCCACTTCCGGTTTTTTTCTTTTTGCTTATGTGGTGCTGAAGAGTCGAACCCAGGGCCTCATGCATTCAAGGCAAGCACTCTACCACTGAGCCACCTTCCCAGCCCCTATTTTGCTTGTTTTTTAAAGTGTGGTAGTGCACACTTGTAATTCCAGCACTTTGGTCCGGAGACTGAGGCAGGAAGATTTCAAATGCAGTGATTCCCTGAGTTACATAACTGGAGTTTTCAAGGCCAACCTGGTCTCTATAGTAAGATCCTGTTTCAAAAAACCAGAAAAGCAAACAAAAGAAAAACAAGAATTTTCCTATTGCCTATTTTAAGGTCTTTTCTGAAAAATACTAAGTCAGCTCAACAGGACAACATCAATGCTGTGTCCCACCTCCTCCCCCCTCCCTGAGGAATGCTGTACAGTATTGGGGGGGGGTGTTGGCCTCTGTTGACCCAGCCCACCTGGGTAGTGTGGAGGTAAGTGGCCCTTGATCAGTTTCCCTGGGGTCTGTATGGCAGCAGTGTCAGAATCCACAGTGCCAGTGAAGCCCCTCTGCCTGCCCCTCCCAGTGGCCCTGGGATCATCTCTTTCCACAGAACAGGGAGACCTTATGGGTCCCTTAATAATAGTCCCACACCCCAAGTCAACCTTGTCTGGGCTCTCTGCATTCTAGCTGACTTTCTCCACTGTTGCTGTCCTTTCTAGGAGGCTATGAAACTTGTCTTGATACCCCAAAAATGCCCCCAAGGAGACCCCCATCAAAGCCTCCCAGTCCCAGAATCGACACACCCCAACTGAACTTCTGACTTTTGTCCCCTCTCCCCAGCCAGCTCTTCTGGAAGCCCAGCCATGGCTGCTTTATAGGGATCAAGCTCTGAATCTGCCAGGCCATTAAAGGAGAATTACATCCCCAAGATAGGTCAAAGGCCAGGTTTTCCAATTAAAGGGCAGTAAGGGCTTGGATTTTTGACTCTAGAACTCTCTAAAACCTTCTTTCTCAGCATTCACAGAGACAGGGCTGGCTGGGCTTGAGACTGGGCTGGGAGCCACATTAGTTTCTTGAGTGCTCTGCTGACTAAGGGGTTCACAGAGGGATCAGGCATGTGGACAGCATCTGTGTGCCATTGGCTAGAATGTTCCAGAACATGCCCTTCTTCATCCGAGAAATCAAATGGGCTTATACAGGGACTTAAAGGAATATGTTATCAATGGCTGTCTCTGGATTTGGCACAGTGCTGGGCTTTATGGGGGAAACAGATGACTGGAATTGAGGGTCCCTCTCTGAATCTTTGTGTATAATTAGGGGAGACCGAAGTGAGCAGGCAGGCACCATGATCACACATTGTTCAGGGAATGCTGCTCTTGCGGGGTGGGCGGCAGAGATGCTTCAGTGTTAAACTTGGTTTTAGGGCCCAAGAGGTATATGGTTGAGGCATAGAAGCACAAACATTCATTGAGCCAGCCTCCCGGGAGAATTCTTTTCTTTGAGCACTCACTTTGGAGCCCAGCTACACCAAAAGGGAAGTTTCCATGGTGGGGAGGAGGGCTTTCTGTCCAGAGAAAGAAAGAACATAGGCATGGACTGGAAGCTTCCTTAATGCTACCTCATTTCATCCTCCCCCTTCTTTTTTGGGTATGGAAATTTGAGGGTGGAAATTTGAAGGTCAAAGTTTAGAGGTCACACCAAATGATACCATGAAAAGCTGGGTCCAAGTCCAAACTCCCTACCCACTCCCACACCCCAAACACAAATGCCCAGCGAGAGCCTGGCATACACATTGTAAATTTTCATGCCTGGGGAACTAATATTAATTCTATATCTTTCCTTTTTTTGGGGGGGGGTCAGGGGGTAATCCTGGGGCTTGAACTCAGAGTCTGCATGCTGCCCCTGAGCATTTTTGCTAAAGACTAATGCTCTACCACTTTGAGCCTCAGCTCTACTGTTTTTCTGGTGCTTAATTGGAGTAAGAGTCTTATGGACTTTGCTGCCCCAGCTGGCTTAGAACTGTGATCATCAGAGCTCAGTTCCCCCCTTCCCTCCCACCAGTAGCTAGGATTACAGGTGTGAGCACCAGCTCACAGGTGTAGAGGGCTTCTCCTCTGCACCCCCTCTTTCCCCCCTTCTGTGCCTCTCTTTAAACAGTGCATTTGTACTTTCCCAGCAGCTCTTCAGGCTCTTTACATTGATTCTTGTCTTTCACAATTGAGCAACACTGGGCTGGCTTCCAAGTACACATGCTCTAGAGTGTGTCTACTGGATGCTAAAGGCTGTCCCTTCTAGGCATGCTTCATGACTTTCATCGTGTGTGTGTGTGTGTGTGTGTGTGTGTGTGTGTGTGTGTACCAGCATATGTGCTGATTCTCGGGCTGAAACTCAGGCTCTGAATACTGTCCCAGAGCTTTTTCACCCAAAGCTGGCACTCTACCACTTGAGCCACAACTCCACTTCCACTTTTGCTGATTAGTTGGCAGTAAGAGTCTCTCCAATTTGACTGCCAGGGCTGGCTTCAAACCTCCATCCTCAGAACTCAGTCTCTTGAGTAGCCATTTATAATTCACTTGCAAAAACTATGTCTCTTGTGGCTAATGTCAGTGATTATCTACTTACTTTCTGAGAAAGTTACACAGGAAGGGCAAATATAATAATTACACAAATCATATTAAGTTCAAATTAGCTAAACAAGAAAGGAAGTCATAGGCCCCAGGTCCTCCTGTTCTGTTGCTGGCTATCAACCATGTACCCGGGGACTGATTTCTCTCTGCCTAGGTTTGCGGTGAACCTGCAGACTGGCTTCAGTGAAAATGACATCGCCTTCCACTTCAACCCCCGCTTTCAAGAGGGAGGCTATGTGGTTTGCAACACGAAGCAGAAAGGATGCTGGGGTCCTGAGGAGAGGAAGATGCAAATGCCCTTCCAGAATGGGGTGCCCTTCGAGCTCAGAATCCTGGTACAGAGATCTGATTTCAAGGTGAGCAGGAACCTCTCTCCCCACTTGGTCCTCTGGCCCTTGGGCAGGCTTGGCCAGCAACCTGTAAATAATCACGCTCATTGAGATCAGGCCTGAGCAACACCCTGACACACAACCGTGGGTATCAGGGTGTCACGAGAGACACTCATCAGAGTGAGAGGCTCAGGAAGTAAACTCCAGAAACTCTGGGGTGCTTCCTGCCCTGGCTTGGGGATTCTCCACCAGAATATGCTGTTCTTTGGCAGGTGACAGTGAACAAGAATGTTTTCCTCCACTATGAGCACCGCGTCCCCTTCCACCTTGTTGACACCCTCTCCATCAATGGCACCTTGATGCTTTCCTACGTCAACTTCCAGGTCAGATGGAATGCCTGGCACATGGCCCCAGGTCTGGGGTGAGGGCCCAGGAGGGCTGTACTGAGGCCCTGGAGGTACCAGCCAATATGGGGGTGGAGTAGATGGGGACTTGCTAGTTCCTCTATTTGGGTGTCAGTTGGTCTGCTCTTCTGTCACTGCAGATTATCTCCTCTGGCTCCCAGAGTACTAGGCCAGGCCTCTCTCTGTCATTCTATTTCCAGTGCTGTTAGAAGGCCAAGTGGTTCCAGAAAGCCATGTCTGGGAACCAAAGGGTTGCTAGCTGGAAGTCCACCTCCACTGTCCTTGTCTGTGGAATCTTAGATGGGTGACTCCAGCTCTCGCGGCCTCGGTATTCCCATCTATACATGGAGTCTGCTCAATGACTCTGAGTGCTTGTGGGCTCCATGATGTTTCTCTTTCTGTGTATTGATTTTATTTTGTTTGTGTTGGTCCTGGGCCTTGGTCTGGGTGCTGTCCCTGAGCTCTTTTGCTCAAGGCTACCACTCTACCACTTTGAACCACAACTGTACTTCCAGTTTGCTAATGGTTAATTGGAGATAAGAGTCTCATGGACTTTCCTGCCTGGGTTGTCTTTAAACTACCATCCTCAGATCTCAGCCTCCTGAGTAGGTAGGATTACAAATGCAAGCCACCAGTGCCTGGCTCTCTTCGTATTTTAAATGTATGTGTGCTGGTGGCTCACACCTATCAGGAGACTGAGATCTAAGGATTGTGAATTGAAGCCAGTTGGTCAGGAGTCTGTGAGACTGTTATCTTTGACTAACCAACAAAAAGCCAGAAATGGAGGCGGGGTTCAAGTGGAAGAGCAATATCCTTGAGTGAAAGAGCCAAGGGACAGTATGTGAAGTAAGGAGATAAGATCCAGTGTGCTGAGCCCACTAGAGGTTCTCAGCAGATAGCTTCTCTTTGGCCTCTGCTCACTTTCCTATTCTCCCCCCCCCCCCGCCCCCTGCGTTCTCTGCAGTGGGAGGAGGCAGGGAGGTGGAGGGAGACTGGAGCCTGCTGATGGCCTAACCCTTTCCTGGCAGCCCTCCCTTCCATGCAAACCCAGCCTCGTCCCTGCCTGCTGCCGCTGCCGGCCCTCCTGCCCCTGCCCGCTGCTCTCCTTGGCTCCACGGAAGCTGCTCTTCACCTCATGGTGCTTTTGTTTTAACAGAACTTTTCTGCAGCCCCCATCCAGCCCTTCTTCTCTACGACGCACTTCTCCCAGCCTGTCCGTTTCCCACGGAAGCCCAAGGGGCACAAACCAAACGTGAGTTCAACACGGAGGCCCCAGGCCTAACAGTAGGAAGGATGTAGGACCAGAGGCTATCCAGCCACGGGTCAGCCAAGACCTGCAGGCTCCATCACACACACCCAGTGTTCCCCATCTACCTCGGCCAGGCAACTAGAGCTAGCCTACCCCTTACCCCCTTGTGCTGGTACTGGGGCTTGGCCTCAAGGCCTTGTGCTCTCATATGGCTTTTTCCACGAATGTTAGTGCTCTACCACTTGAGCCACAGCTCTGCGTGTAGCTTTTTGCTAGTTCATTGGAGATAAGAGTCTCCCCAATTTTTTCGGCCCAGGCTGGCTTCTAGTTGTGATTCTTAGATCTCAGCCTCCTGAGTAGCTAGGATTATAGGTGTGAGCCACCAGTGGCTGGATCAACCCCATTCTTAATGTCCACCAGTGCCCTGTTATCTCTCCCCAAAGCCACTACCTTGGTCCAGGCCACTGTGACTTCTCACCATGATAGCTGTGGTCCAGGTCTTCCTACCGCCTCACCTCCCATCCACGAGCACATTCCAGCTCCTTGTCTTCCTGCAGAAAGACCTGCCTGGCTTCCAAACCCTTTTCTTTTCTTTTATTTTCCAGTCCTAGGGCTTGAACTCAGGGCCTGGGCACTGTCCCTGAGCTTCTTTTGCTCAAGGCTAGCACTCTACCACTTAAGCCACAGAACCACTTCTGGCTTTTTCTGTTTTTGTGGTCCTGAAGAATTGAACCTAGGCCTTCATGCATGCTAGGCAAGCACTCTACTACTAAGCCACATTCCCAGCCTTCCCCACCCCCTCCCAGCCAACCCCTTTTAAATACAGCTCAGATTCCCCAGCAGAACACAGCAGAAAGCACCTCCATCGCACCCCCACCCCCACCCCCACTTCCCACCCCACTAACGCTCTTAAAGCTCCCATAGCCTTCACCACTCACTCACCGAGCTTTCCCACACTGAGACCCAAGGCTCCAGGCACTTTTGGCCGATGTTGCCCCTGGCAGACTAATCATTGCACTGCAATTCTCTGCTTAAGTGTCACCCCTTTGTGGAGGTTTCTGGGCCTGGAAGTTGGCTCCTCCCTCCATGTCCCCGTGACTCTGTGCACATCTGTGTCATGCCAATCATCATATCGTGTTGTCACCCTGTTTCTGTGTCTCTCCCGATTACTCCACCTCCACCTTCCATCCCCATGAGCATCTGGAAGGCTGCCAGTCCCTGCCTGGCATGCTTCAGGGATTCAATAAATGAATGTGGAGTGAGGTTGGCACAGACAGGAAGAATAGGAAGCAGATCAGGGCAAGTGAGTCTGCTGGGTGGTGTCAGAGCAGACCTCTCACGAGGCCCTGATACCCTGTGCATGCAGGAGTGATAATCTGCCGGACTGCAGGTCCAGGAAGGGTTTCTTGGGAACAGCAAGGAGGTAGATGTGTTGTGGGCCGGGGGCACAGCAGACCAGAAGAGCTCCACATGGAGTTGGGCAGTCGCCTCTCCTCTCTGTGTAGCTCTCTTGATAACCAACATTTTAATTTCCTTCACCCCTTTTCAGCCTCCAGGCATGTGGCCTGCCCAACAGGCTCCCATTGTAAGTGCCTTTTTATCTTCTTCCGGTGGGATAAAGGGCGAAGCAGGGCCGGGTGTGTGGCCTCTCCCACAGGAGAAGGTGGGCAGCCAGGGCTGCCCCTGTGCCATCTGCCTGGCCTCAGTGAGGCCAAGGCCAGGAGTGGGGATTGGGGCGTGATCCGGTGGCCTGGGTGAAATGGGAACCAATTTAAATGGCTTTGTTTGCTCAAGTCCTTCCTATTCTGCAGCCAAGACCTAGAACATGCAGGCCCCACATTCAGCTCTCCACTTGCAAAATGAGCCTACGTGGGGAAAAATTTCTGAGAAGAAAAATAGAGCAAGTCAGGTGCCAGTGGCTCGTGCCTGTAATCCTAGCTACTCAAGGCCAAGAGCTGAGGACCATGGTTCAAAGCCAGCCCAAGCAGGAAAATCCATGAGACTCTTATCTCCAATAAATCACCAGAAAACTGGAAGTGGTGCTGTGCCTCAATTGGTAGAGTACTTGCTTTGAGATAAAGAGCTCAGGGATAGTGCCCAGGCCCAGAGTTCAAGCCCCACGACTGACCAAAAAAAAAAAAAAAAAAGAAAGAAATATGGAGCAGAGGCTGTACTACAACCTGCTTTTTTCCTGCAGAACTTTGCCTCTCTCTAATCCTCTTGGTTGAAGAAAAGACCTCTCTACCCATATGCCTTGGGGAGTGGAGGGAGCAGGACTGTGGAGTGGGGATCTGTGGTGGAAAATGGTCAAAGCTTCTCAAGAATGCATGTCATGGGGCTGGGAAGGTGGCTCAGTGGTAGAGAGCTTGCCTTGCATGCATGAGGCCCTGGGTTCGATTCCTCTGCACCACACAAGCAGAAAAAAAAAGCAGGAAGTGGCACTGTGGCTGAAGTGGTAGAGCGCTAGCCTTGAGCTGAAGAGCTAAGGGACAGCGGCCAGGCCCAGAGTTCAGGCCCACCACCGGACCCCCCACCCCAACCAAAAAAAGCATGTCACATGGCGCCCTCTAGTGGATGATGGTGGTCCTCCCATTGACGAGAGCTGGTTAAGACCTAATTTCTTTCTTCCAGGCTCAAACAGTCATCCATACGGTGCACAGCGCCCCTGGACAGATGTTCCCTGTAAGTCTAAAAATTTCTGGTTCACTTATAGCCCTGCAGGATCCTTCTTGTAAAAAAAGTAGTAGTAAAAGAGGGAGGAGGAGGAGAAGGAGGAGGAGGGGGAGGGGGAAAGAGGAGGAAGAGAAGGAACAAGGGAGAAAGGAGAGGGGGAAATAGAATTGATAGTGGGGGTGGAGGAGGAGGAGGTCCTCAAACCACAGCTGCTCAAACATGCAACTCTCCTTTGGAGGGCAGAGATTCTGGGACAGTTATCAAAGAAGCAGGCCCCTAGTGGCTTACAGGGAGACTGGTTGTTCTGTTACTAAAAGGGTACCGAAAAGTGGTGGCCTCAGATACAGACAGAAAGTTTTTAGCCCTGCAACGTCACTGTTGGTTGCAGGTTTAACCATCTTCTTTTGTCAGCACAGGTAAGTGGGGGGCCTAGAGTTAGCAGAAGCTAACTTCTCAGGGACTGAGAGTCACAGGGCATAGAAAGTTCAAGAAAGGCAGAAATGATAGCTGGGTGCTGGTGGCTCATGCCTGAAATCCTAGCTAGCCAGGAAGCTGAGATCTGAGGATTGTGGTTCAAAGCCAGCTTGGGCTGGAAAGGCTATAAGACTCTTATCTCCAAGTAACTAGAAAATATCCAGAAGGTGTGGAGGTGTGTCTCAAGTGATAGATCGTCTGCCTTGAGCAGAAAAAGCCAAGTGAAAGTTCAAGGCCCTGAATTCAAGCCCCAGCAATACTGGCACCAAAAGAAAAAAGGCAGAGGTGACAGGGAAGGGGAATGGGAGAATCCAGGGATTGAACCCTCACAGCTCCAGTCTGTATTGAAGGGATCCCTCTAGAATGTATGACTGCCTCTGTGTGTGTGTGTGTGTGTGAGCACACACACACAGATAAAGACATACACACATGTGCATGAATGCTCTGGTCTCTTCAACAGAATTCTGGAATTCCACCCATGGTGTACCCCAGCTCAGCCTATGTAAGTGATTTCTTGGGGAGGACTGGGATTGCTGTTTGTTCGGAGCAGAATGGAGGTCAAGGGCAGCCGGGGGGAGGGGGGGAAGGGGGGAGGCGAGCCTCTGACTTTGCATAATCGAAAGACATGCTGTTGAGATGTTTTTTTTTTTTTAAAGTATCCATATAAATTAGCCGTCTGTTGAAAGGAGCTTTCAGCTTTAAAAAGATTCCTTTGGTGTGTGAAAATTATATGGCCTTCCCTCTTCACTCCAAGAAGGCTTTGTCAACCTAAGGATGGCTTTGTCACTGAATGAGCCAAGCCAAGATGTCACGTGTTTCTTGGCAAAGAGACTAACTCACAAGGGGTTTCAGACTGGGGCTGTCAGGCCAAATCCCTGGACAGCCATTGACACAGAATTCCCCAGCTGACCGGTCCCATCCCCCATCCTTCCAACAGCCAATGCCATTCTTCACCAGCATCCCGGGCGGGCTGTACCCCTCCAAGTCCATCATTGTGTCGGGCACTGTTCTGCCCAATGCTAAAAGGTAAGGCACGCCTTCAGGGCTCTCAGGGAGGTGGGAGACCCTGAAGGTCATTCAGGTTGTCCCCTGGCTCCAAGCAGGCTGGGGCGGGGGTAATGCCAGCACCCCCTCAGCTCAGTGCACAGGGGTCATGTGAACTGGTCACCCCAGGTTCCACATCAACCTGCGCTCTGGGAGTGACATTGCCTTCCACCTGAACCCCCGCTTCGATGAGAATGCTGTGGTCCGCAATACGCAGGTCAGGGGCTCCTGGGGCTCTGAGGAGCGAAGCCTGCCCAGAAAAATGCCCTTCAACCGGGGCCAGAGCTTCTCGGTAAGGTGCTACCACGTGGGCGCAGAGAGTCCAGAGGGTGGGAGAGGAGGGGTTGGAGGAGGGCTGGGGCTGCCTTGTATGGGATAGGAGCTGCCTGGGGCCGTGAGGGCTAGCACTCAAAGAAGCGAGGATGTTCAACAAGTACTTGAACACATCGGGTTTTCAGCACTCCATTTCACCCACTGAGTGAAAAATGGCATTTAGCAAAGGCCTCCGAGGCCTCCAGAGCTGAGTCTGAGCTTTCCAATCCAGGAGCATCCTTAGCTTCTGCTTCCCCAGTGAGGCTCAGGAAGCCTGAGCAACTTGCCCAGGCCTAGGCTGGACTAGTTTGGCCTGGGCTGCTTAGTCTGGCCCAGGGAGCAAGGCAGAAAATCCCAATGGCTCCCAGTTCTTTTTGTTGTTGTTGGTGGTGGTGGTTTGGGGGCTTGAACTCAGGGCCTGGGCTCTGAGCTTTTTTTTGTTTGTTTATTCCTCTCAAGGCTAGCACTCTACCGCTTTGAGCCTTAGCTCCACTTCCAGTTTTTTAGTTGTTAATTAGAGATAAGAGGCTCATGGACTTTCCTGCCTGGGCTGGCTTTGAGCTGCAATCCTCACATCTCAGCCTCTTGAGTAGCTAAGATTACAGGTGTGAGCCACTAGTGCCTGGCTATAGTTCCCAAGTCTAAGCAAGTGATCGAGCCCCTAGTCATGCCCCGCCCCCAGCCTGGATAGCCACTTCTCTCTGACCCACCACATCCTACCAGGCCAGGACCAAGGCTGGGCTGACCTGCAAAGGCTTCCTGATATCCGTGTGGTGGGAAGCAGGCGGCCTGCCTGTGCCATCATGAGCCACAGGAAGACTGGGCGGACAGAAGCCCCAGCCCCAGCCTCTGCTGCTCAAGTGGTTACAGGAAGTGAGGCTGCTGGACTTCCTGTCTCAGATCCAATGACTGCTGTTCTGGGGGCGGGGGGATTTACTATCTGATCTGTGTGTGTGTGTGTGTGTGTATGAAGTGTAGTGCAAATGGCCTGGCTTCTCTGCCCAGCTGTGGATCCTGTGTGAAGGTCACTGCCTCAAAGTAGCCCTGGACGGACAACACCTGTTTGAGTATGGCCACCGCTTGAAGAACCTGCCAGCCATCAACAGCCTGGAAGTGGCGGGTGATGTCCGGCTTACCCACGTGCAGACATAGATTGTCCCCTGACCCTGGGTTGAGGGCCGGGGGATGCTGTCTGGGTCTCCTGGTCACTTCTCCCCCAGCTCCAGCACCAAGGGGAGAGGCACTGCCAGGTGTGAGACAGGGGAAGCATCCCCTCTGCACTGGGGGGAGGGGAAGGCCCCAGCCTCCAAACTCCCAACCCCCTGGGCCTCCATTCATCTCCACTTGGAGGCTGGTAGCATGGTTCACAGGTAGAATGCCTGCCTAGCAAGCATCAGGCCCTGAGTTCAAACTGTCTAAAAAACAAAAACCCTCATGTTCCAAGCCATCAGCTATCACGGGTTGGGTGGCCTCTGGGGCAATTTCCCTTTCTCTGCTCTTTAACTCTTCTCCCTAACCTTGCCTCCTGCTCCCACCCTTCACCCCCTCCAAGAAGCCTGTCCATGGCTGACCAGAGCTTCCCCCACTGTCCCTATGATAAATAAAAGTGCTGGTTACCCTCACGCGGGATGACTGATTTCCTACTTGTGCCAGTGATATTTTGGAGTCTGGAATTGGGGGTTTCTGCTGATGGGGTAGGGAGGAGACAGCATGGAATCTTTTGGGGTGGGGGTCCTTCACACACCCCACTAGGTGCTGGAGAAAATGGGCTAAGAGCTGGTAGCTGTAATCCTTGCTACTCAGGAAGCTAAGATGTGAGAATTGTGGTTTGAAGCCAGGTTGGTCCCTGAAACGATCTCCAATTAACCAGTAAAACACAGGAAGTAGAGACACGGCTCAAGTGGTGGAGCACCAGGCTTGAGTGAAGAAGCTAAGAGACAGTGCCTAGGCTCTGAGTTCAAGTCCCAGTACTAGCCCCAAAAGAAATGAAAATAGGCTGGGGCTCCATCCTCTTGGGCAAGGCTCTCAAACTTAGGAATCTTGGCAGCTGGGTAAACCGAAGAATCAGTGCTGTGCTAACATGGATGGGGAGATGGGCAGGGATAGAGTGGTCATGGCAGCCCAGGAGGCCAGAAGCCATTCTCAGAAGCTTGTGCTCAGGCAGGAGAGGGGCAGCCGGGCCAGGTGCTGACTGGAAAGCCGTGCAGATGTGAGACTCTGTGAGGTTGGGGGTTTGGGTTATGAGGGGAAAGTGGCAGGCAGCACCCGGAGGACTTACCAGACTAAGGAGCCCATTAACTCCCTCAGGAACCCAGCCCCTTGACAAGCAGGGTGGGACTCACAGCAGTGGCAGTGGCCGCAGCAGCACGGGGAACAAGTTAAAGATGGACCTTGTGCCAGACCTACCAGGGTTTTTTGTTTTTTGAGTTGGTCGTGGGGTTTGAACTCTGGGCCTGGGCACCATCCCTGAGCTCTTCAGCTCAAGGTTATCACTCTACCACTTGAGCCACAGCGCCACTTCTGGTTTTCTGGTGGTTAAATGGAGATAAGAGTCTCACAGATGTTCCTGCCTGGGCTGGCTTTGAACCTTGATCTTCAGATCTCAGCCTCCTGAGTAGCTAGGTTACAGGTGTGAGCCACCAGTGCCTGGCTCCCTACCAAGTTTTTTTTTTGTTTTGTTTTGGCCAACCCTGAGGGCCTGGGCACTGTCCCTGAGCTTCTTTTGCTGAAGGCTGGCACTCTATCACTTGAGGCACAGCACCACTTCCAGCTTTTTCTGTATGTGGTACCAAGGGCTTCATGAATGCTAGGCAGAGCACTCTACCTTTAAGCCACCTTCCCAGCCCAGACCTACCAAGTTTGAGTCATTTGAGACACACAGCTCTGGGCCACTGGAACCTGGCAAACCCTTTACTCTGGCTCCTTTCCACCTGGGAGAGGAAGAAGAGGAGAGAAGCAGGCACCAGGGCCTATGTAACCCAGCTTTGCCAGATAGCCACTCTCCCTACCTAGAAGCCCGAGGTCTCTCAGGATGTAAGGATGGTAGGTGCCCTTCACTATACTAGTGCTTCTTATGCAGGTGCTGTGGACCAGTGCTCCCAAGACAGGGTGTGGCTTGAATCCTTACTGAAGAATTGGAACTGGGTGACCTTGATAGCTTCTATATGATGCAGCCCCACTTCCACACCCATGTCCCTTCACCCCTGCCACAAAACGCCCTGTGGTGTCTCCTGGGAGCCAAACCAACACTAACCCTTGAGGCTGCTTTCCCAATTAACATCCCCCCCCCCCCGCTCCCCCTACCCTACACACACATACAAGGTGGTTAAAATAAAATGTATTTCATATAAATATTTCCATCGAGGAATTATTCAAGGAAGGCACAAGTGACCATTTGGAGCAGACAGAGGTGTTTGTTTTTTAAATATAGAAGTATAAATAACTGTACATAGGGTTGTTAAAAGATTGGTATCATAGCGCCGCCTGGTGGCCACTCAGTCAAAGACTTCATCTCTTTCATCCACTTGCCAGGCCTCCAGGTTCAGATTTCTCTTCCAAGGGGCTGGAGAGGCCCTAAGGCTCTCCATTATGCAGGGAAGGGTGGGCTGGAGGAAGAGAAATGGCTCCAAGAGCCCTAGAATGATGCTTCACTGTGGGTATTAGAGTCTCATGCCATTGGGCTGCCCTGCAGCTCTCTCCTTTACTTCAAAGGGAAAGACAGCACTAAAGATATCTTCATGATAGCGTTTCTGACTCTGTAAAGAAAACCAGAGGCAAGGTGTCACATGTTGGGGTCCAGCTCTCTCATTTACCACATCCAGCTGCCCTGGGTCTCCTATCACATGCGCACCAAGAGCCCTTTTCCTGCCTGTCATGCTGGGTTTATGCTTGGATTTGGTTTATTCTCTAGCCCAGTTTAACCTATTTAGCTGGTGGCCACCTGGTGGTCACTAAGTTCTGCAATCAGAAATCATCCTCTTGTGTCTACCTCAATACCTCCTCGAGGTGGATGGAAGGATGGATAAATGTTCTATTTTCTACCAGTTCTCATCCCACAAGATGCTCCAGCAAATGTGAGCTCTGAGATCTTTATTAAGTACAGTAAGCCAATGATGTGGCCTTATTACTTTTTCTTTTTTTTTTTTTGAGACAGGGTCTTGAACCAGGGCAACAGTGCTGAACTCTCACATCCATGACTGTGGGCCTCCCAGGGCCCTTTCTTTCAGCAATAGGGGTGACCTTGGAAATATATAACTCTTGAAACATATACCACATAAAAATCTATAACTGGGTGCTGTAATCCTAGCTACTTAGGAGGCTGGGATCTGAGGATTGTGGTTCAAAACCAGCCTCTTATCTCCAATCAACCACCAGAAAACCAGAAGTGGCACTGTGGCTCAAGTGGTAGAACGCTTACCTTTGAGCTGAAGAGCTCAGGGATAGCGCCCAAGCCCAGAGTTCAAGCCCTACAACCGACCAAAACAAAAAACAAAACAAAAAACTACAGCAAGTACCTGACCCAGGACCGGTCCTGTTGCCATCATTAAGTGGTATCCTGGGCTGGGAATGTTTCTTAGTGGTAGAGTGCTTTTGCTTCGAATGCATGAAGCCTGTGGTTTGATTCCTCAGAACCACATACACAGAAAAAGCTGGAAGTGGTGCTGTGGCTCAAGTGGTAGAGTGCTAGCCTTGGGCAAAAGAAGCTCAAGGACAGTGCTCAGGCCCTGAGTTCAAGCCCAGGACTGGCAGAAAAAAAAAGATGGCATCCTTCCTGCCAGGGGGCGCGATGAGCACACAGTGGCCTGGGTGTAAAGGGAGGAGTTCTTTGCATAAAAATATCAGGGCTTAACCTTCCTGTTCCTGTGTTCACAGCCCCGTCACAGGGAGGAGGAGGCCCAGGAGGCCCGCCATTCCCATTCCACAGCAGGAAAAATGGACATGCCAACCTGATTTCTCAAAAGCTAGCTAGCAGCCAGATCAGGATCAACAAGCCCTCTAACAAACCATCCAGCTATTTCAGGGTTTCCTTTGGGGTTCAAGAGTGTTCTGTGATGCTCATGGTTCTGATCCTTGTCCACTCCCCGCCCCCTCCCTGGCAGAACTGGGTCCCATGGTCTGTGTCTTAGCCTGTTCCTCCACCAACCCCACCTCAGCCCCCATACCTTGAGCTGGAAGAAATAATCCTCAACCTGTTCGTCATTCAAGTTCAAGCTGTTCGCCACCAACTGCTTCAGTGTGTGGGCCACGTCCCGGGCCATACGCACGTCCCCACACACATAGAGGTGGCCTGCTTCTTCATGCAGCACACGGAGCACCTCGCTGGCCAGCTGCTGCCGCAGGATGTCTTGAACGTAAACCTGAAACCAAAGGAGACAGTGGGTGGAGGAGTAAGGCCTGTGGTCATGCTTCCTCATCACAGGAAAGGGAGGATGGAGACAGAGTGTGCATCCTGCAGGTGGACGGGAGCTCAGGACGATGCCTTGCCTTGCCTGGCCCAGGCCAGCAGGGCATCTGAATTCACACTTCAAAGAGACATCAATGAAGCCAGTTCCCCTGCCCAGGGCTCCAAGGCTTGCCTCCCCAGGAAAGGGGGCCCCTCGGCACAGATGTATCCAGTTGCAATTCAGGTAATGGGATTCTGCTTTCTTTCCCCACAAGGGTCATAAAGACCCCAGCACTGGGGGCATCATTCAGTCTGCAGGGATTGGTTCACTAGTACTGAGCTGAGAGCCTGAGGCAAAGTGACCCCAGGCCCCAGTGCCCAGTTGAGGAAGTGGTGGCCGCATTCTTACCTTTCTGGGCTTGAGCATAAAGCCAGCCTGAGCCATCTCTCCCCAGGAAGTCATGTATCCCAGAGGGCTGCGGGGAGGCCCTTTGAACCCGTGTGACCCTGAGTTACTCCTAAATCTCTCCGGGCTGGCCTCTTCTCTAGGAATAGAAGCTATGATGCTCTTCACAGCTTCATCCTGGTGGTTGTATAACTATCACCATTTCAGAGTGAAGTAAATGAAGGTACAGCCCGGTGAGGGGGTTGGGGGAGCCAGGGCAGCAGCTCTGGCATTGGCTCATAAAGTTCAGGCCTTATGCATCCACATTTACCTTGGGCCTACCAGGCAGCCGGGAATAGGCTATGTGTAGCTCATGTAGCACCCTTTTATGGGCCATCTCCAACATCTCCTCCCAGTAGAGGTGGTCCTCATCCGGGTGACGGCACCCAAACACCAGGGTCATGCGTCCGCCCTTGATCCCTGCAAGATCCAGCAGGCTGTAGTTATAAGGATGGCCACCAGGGGTCGAGCCATGGCCCAGGGTGAGCATCCAGCTTGAATGCTCAAGCATACTGTCTGATGGATGACCATTTTACAAATGAGAGAAGCAGGAAACTAGCCCAGAGTCTCATGGAGTTTCCTGCCCAGGCTGGCTTTGAACTGTAATCTTCAGATCTCAGCCTCCTGAGTAGTTAGGATTACAGGTACAAGTCACTGGTACCTGCCTTGCCCTATACTCCTTTATTTTCTTGTTTTTCTTCCTTCCTTCCTTCCTCCCCCCCCCCTTCTCTCTCGTCAGTCATGAGGCTGGAACTCAGGGCCTGGGCGCTGTCCCTTGAGCTCTTTTGCTTAAGGCTACCTCTCTACCACTTGGAGCCATAGCACCACTTCTGGTTAATTGGAGATAAGAGTCTCACAGACTTTCCTGCTCAGGTGGGCTTTGAACCGTGATCCTCAGGCCTCAGCCTCGAGTTATAGGTGTAAACCACCAGCAACTGGCTGCCCTATACTATTTTAATTTAATTTTTTTTGTAGTACCAGACATGAAAATCAGAAGATAATAGAGACAATCATCAAGTCACTCATTCAATACTGATCCTAACCAATATACTACCCTTTTTGCATGTTAATTTTATTTTTTTCCTCTTAAGACATAGTAAATATCAGGGGCTGGGAAGGTGGCTCAGTGGTTAAAGCGCTTGCCTTGCATGCCTGAGGCCCTGGGTTTGATTCCTCAGCACCACATAAGCAAAAACAAAAAAGCCGGAAGTGGTGCTGTGGCTCAAGTGGTAGAGTGCTAGCCTTCAGCTGAAGAGCTGAGGGACAGTGCCCAGGCCCAGAGTTCAGGCCCCATGACCGGACACACACACACAAAAAAACATAGTAAATATGGGTTGCAGGGGAAAACCGGGGACACATGCACTGTATGTGTCATGATAAAATCAGGGCAATTAGCACTTTCTGGTCCTTATCTCCAGCCTTACCTTTGTGCTCAGAGTCATGGAGCCGCTGCTTCCAGAAACTTCGGAAGGGGGCGATGCCTGTGCCGGGCCCAATGAGGATGCAAGGAAGGGAGGGGTCCTTGGGGAGCTGGAAGCTGCTGGCGCTGAGAGGGGACAGAGGAGGGGGCTGCAGATACCCTGGGTGGATGCTCTCCCAGGACAAGGGCTGCGAGGAGGATGGGGACAGGTGCACGGTGGTAGGATGAGGGCGGAGAGAGCAGGCTTCTTGGGGGCTAATTTCTGCCCGGTCTGGCAAAGCATCTCCCCACTCAGGGGTCTTTTATAAAGAGGCCAATCGCATTGCATTCTGGATTCCCCACTGTCGTCATCATTTCCCTGGCTAGAGACTGCCATGAAGCCAGAGTGAGCCCAAATCTTCCTAATAGACACAGCACCCTAGAAGGTCACTGGGTCCTAGATCTCTTCCTTGCATCCCAGAAACCTCTGGGGCCAAGAGCCCCTGACACTCACCTCCGCACAAAGCAAGGCACGGGGTCCTGGGGCTGCAGGTTGCTGAGCCAAGTGCTGCACACGCCATGGTGTAGGGGACCCTGGCCATCTGTAAGGGACAATAGAGATGACCAAAGGCCTCGTGGCCTGAGTGTTACCCTGGCCAGCTGTCCGTCATCACACACCTCACCACCATGTAGGCCTGGGCATTAGAAACTGAACGTGGGGCTCTGTCCCAAGCGGCGAAAAGCTGCCTTCAACCAGCTGGGAAGGCTACAGGGGCCTTAGCAACAGCTAAGTGTCAGAGAGGGAGCGGGGCATGAGCAAAGTCCCAGGGGCGAGCAGAAGCAGGCTGACCCCTTGGATTCCTTGACTTACACTAGCACTTTTTCCAAGGTCCCTTCAGGGCCCTCCCAGCCACTCCCACCCCAGTGCTATGGTCTCATGAAGCAGCAGCTGGGGGGGGAAGGGGGGGGAGCCGGAGCTTGCTGGTAGGTGCCCAGCGGGGGTGGGGGGGCTGCCTCTGTGCTCTGTCTAGGCTTCAACTCCATCACAGTGGCCTGGCATGTAAAGGAGGCTTCTATGGGAATGGAGAAGCCCTTGGCTTTGGCCTGTTCTGAGTGTGGCTCTGAGGATCTGCCTGTGACGCCTTGCCTGTCCTCTCCTGGTTGAGGACTGAGCCTGGGCTATGTGGTGGCAGTTCTCTCGTGGAGCACACATGGGCTTTGCCAAGGTTTCAGAAGCCATGCCACCACTCTTCCTTGCAGGGGACAAAGGGCTTTGAGATGTGGCCAGCTCCAGCCTAGGGAATCCAGACAAGTCCCAGCTGTGGCGATTAGGGTGGGAAGACAAGTTTAGTCATCTAATAGGGTCTCACATGTATGCCTTAGTCAGCCTGAACTGTAATCCTCCTATTTATGCTTCCTATGTAGCTAGGGTGACAAGCATTGTCAGCTTTTTACTGGTTGAGATGGGAGCTCACAAACTTTTGCTTTGTTTTGGTTTTTCCCAGGCTGACTTCCATCTGTGATCCTCCTGATCTCAGCCTCCCAAATAGTAGGATTATAGGTTTGAACCACCATATCACACTAGAATATCAATTTCTTTTTCTTTTTTTTTTGGTCCGGTCGTGGGCCTGAACTCTGGGCCTGGGCGCTGTCCCTCAGCTCTTCAGCTCAAGGCTAGCGCTCTACCACTTGAGCCACAGCGCCACTTCCGGCTTTTTTCTTTTTGCTTATGTGGTGCTGAGGAATCGAACCCAGGGCCTCATGCATGCAAGGCAAGCGCTCTACCATTGAGCCACCTTCCCAGCCCTAGAATATCAATTTCTATGCTTCTCTCTTCCACAGCCCTCCAGAAAAGGCAGCGGCATGTCTGCCATGTCTCCACTCCCATCAAGGCACCCACTCAGCCATCACAGAGTGAATTCGGTAAGTGAATGAATGATCAAAGGAGAACCATCTCTGCTTTCAGGCTGACCTATCTAGAGGACTGAGTCCCTGGGTCTTTCTCAAGTGCTGGCGCTTTCTACGCTTGTTCTCATTCCATTGTCCTGGCCATCGTAGAGCAGTAAAGTGGTGGAGAACTTGAACTCATCCATTAGCCTGGGTTTGAATCTCAGCTCTCCACTTACTAACCCTGTGACTTTGAGTAAGTGGCTTAAGCTCACTGAGCTACTTTTTCCTTCAGTAAAATGCATATAGTACCTATCTCCTCTGGCCACCAAGGGTTTGTATACAAAGGAGTTAGTTGGATGACTGATCCTCCACAGCTCCCAGTTTTATTTACAACTCCAGGCAGTCAGATGTTTAACTGATGAGGAGACCGAAGCGCAGAGATATCTAACAGCTGGCCCCGAAGAAGCAGAGCCAGATTGTTCCAAGCCTGTGCCCCATCTCACCTTGGGTGTGGTACGCGATCACAGCCACGGTGAGGTGGATCTCTGTGGGGGTGTGGTCCTGGGAGGAACTGATGGAGTAGAAGCGGGGCTTCAGGATGGGGAGCTGGGACAGTAGGAAGGTGGCAGGCACCCGCAGGGATGGGAACTCCGCCAGCACCTCCAGGAACGTGGGGCTATTGGTGAACTTCCATTTGTTGTACTCTGAAGGCTGAAAGCCAAGAGCAGTGTGAGGACTGAGAGTGCCTGCCCTGTATCCTAAGGGCAGAAGAAGGTAGGCAGAAGAGGCTGCCACAAGCCAGCATTCATTCATTCATTCATTCGTTCATTCACTCAATCAACGCATTCCCCCTCCCCGCCCCACATGCCAGCTGCTGTCCAGGGTGCTGAAGCTCAAAGCTGGAGGAGCAATGGAGTAAGTAATTCAGCTCAGCCAGGAACATTGGTCATCTGTATGCTTAAATTCCCACTGTTGGTAACTTGTAGGTAGGACTCAATGCTATTACTGTCAAAATCTGAAGCAAAGTTGAAACTAGTCAGATCTGGGTTCCAATCTTGACCAGACATCCTCCCTAAGCAGGGAATTTTATCCTTATTACTTTACTTTTGTAAAAGGGGGCTACTGGGCTGGGAAGGTGTCTCAGTGGTAGAGCGCCTGCCTTGCATGCATGAGGCCCTGGGTTTGATTCCTCAGCACCACATAAGCAAAAAAAGAAAAAAGCCAGAAGTGGCGCTGTGGCTCAAGTGGTAGAGTGCTAGCCTTGAGCTGAAGAGCTGAGGGACAGTGCCCAGGACCAGAGTTCAGGCCCCACGACCGGACCCCCCCCAAAATAAAGACAGTAAAAGGGGGCTAGTATTGCTCTCTTCCTGAGAAGGTCCTGAGAGTTAAATGAGAAAATGTGTGCCAAGATAGTATAGTGTAACCACAGAAAAATGGTGGCCACATGGTTGGGATGGAGTTTATTGGCAATAATGATGATGGTGACAATAGTGTTCAGTGCCTTTTGCAAAGATGTGGGTGCAGGGGAGTGCCCAGGGGTTAAAACATTGTCACTCACTTATGAACTCAGTCACTACCTATCATCACTCCACCTCCCATCCATCCACCCATCCATGTATCCATCCATCCATCCATACATACATACATACACACACACACACACACACACACACACACACACACACACACACATCTACCCACCCACCCATCCATCCATCCACCCACCCATCCATTCATCCATCCTCTAAATCTTTTTTTTTTGTTTGTTTGGTTTTTTTTTTGTCAGTCGTGGGGCTTGAACTCTGGGCCTGGGCGTTGTCCCTCAGCTCTTCAACTCAAGGCGAGCGCTCTACCACGTGAGCTACAGCGCCACTTCCTAAATTTTTTTTCTTTATAGTCCTGGGGATTAAACCCAGAGACTCACATTCTACCACTTGAGACATCTCTAGCTTCCCCCTTCAAATACTTTTTTGTGTGTGTCAGTACTGGAGCTTCAAGCCAGGGCCTGGACACTATTACTAAGCTTTTTACTCAAGACTAACACTCTACCACTTGATCCATAGCTCCACTTTTGGCTTTTTGCTGGTTAACTGGAGATAAGAGTCTCACAGACTTTCCTGCCAAGGCTGGCCTTGAACCACAATTCTCAGATCTTAACCTCCTGAGTAGGTAGGATAACCATTCCCTAAATCTCCAATATTCTAATGTTCCAGGTTTGGGGAAGACAAAGACAGAGACAAGAAATAGTTGACTCAGTATAACTATGTCCTAGAGATGAGACAGAAGCTAACACCTTTGACAAAGTCCCACCATGGGACACTAGGCTGGACCCACCTAGCTTGACATCCAGTTCCCTCCTCTCCAGGACCTGCCCCTTCCTCTGGGGCCAGCCATGCCTCACCTGGCAGAGGGCCTCCAGCCTCTGTCTGTCAGCCTCTTCTGTGGCAAGCCGGGCTAGCTTTTGGAGCTGCAGCTGGGTGGGCGGGGTGGTGATGTCCAGGAAGTGGGTGAGGGCCTGGTGGAGTGAGCAGGGTAGCAGCCTCATCTCCCTGACCCAGTAGTTGCCTGCACAGGGGAGGAAGGGATTAGGATGGAACAGAGGCTGTACCTGAGGTGACAGGAGGCCCCTCTACCCTCCATCTACAGGGAGAGAAGCCTCTGAAGTTCTGGCTCAGGGAGGAAGGTGGAGTCAAAGTCAAGGCTACTAGAGAGGCTGAACAAAAGCTCCTCCCCCAGCCCTGCCCACCACCCATGGGCACCAAAATCCTGACACACTCACTATGTCCCTCTTTGGTCCCGAGTGATTGAGAGACTCAGGAGTGATCGAGAGACTCAAAGTGACTAAACCCACTGAAGGCTGAGGCGCAGCCCAGTGATGCCATTCCCCGAGGAGATGGGGGAGCATCGCAGCCCAAAGTGAGGGGCAGGTTCCCAAAAGTCCCAAGAGGCATGCGGCATGTAGGACAGTCAGAGCATGGGACTTGGGACAGTAGATCTAGAATCAAATTCAACCCCCCTGTCCCCAGCTGGGTGGCTGAACTATGTAGCCTTGGGTTCATATCCTGACAAATGGATGTGACAGCCAAATCAATGTTGCTAGGCTGTGTGGGCATGGGAAAGGGTTTGCACAGTGCTGGGCACACTGCTGAATAAGTATTACACAAATATGTCATTTCACCTGGACTAGAGGCCTGATGGGCTACGCCTGTCTCCCTATAATCACAAGTACCACTCAGATTCTTGTTTCTAGGCTCTCTCACGTCCCCTGAACGAGGGGAGCATTGCTGGGCTTTGCTTCTCTGGTCCCTACTTTCCTATTTGGGCTTCTTTGGAGAAGCGGTCATCATGGCAGAATGAAGTCCAAAGAGCTATTCCCAAGGGCTGGGGTTGGGGCAACTGACACAGGACAGGAGGAGGGAGATGGGGTTGCCAGGCCTCCCTGACCAAGCCAGATCTCAGGCTCACCACGCTCGTCCAGGGTCTCCAGGCACACAGTCTGGTGAGGCGCGGGGCTGTCCACTACTCGCTCCAAGATGCCTTGGACCAGGGCAGGCTGGTTGCTCGGGAAAACCCCAAGGTGCTCACCAGGCAGGTAGCTCAGGCCGTGGCTGTCCTCACAGGAGAGCTCTACCAAGAGGGTGGAGCGGCTGTGAAGAGAGAAAGGAGCCCCATGAACTCCATGACTCCCTCAAGTTCCCTGGTGGGCAAGTCAGCTTCCCCAGAAAATGTATCCATCTGGTGCCTCCAGCCTGGGTCGGCAGCCTGAGCTTGGGACATGACATCGCTCAGCTAGGGACACCTAGCACTTTCCCTTGAGGAGAAGGTGGGCCTCACTCCTTGTTGGAAGCCCTCTAAGCCTCAAGGACTTGCCCAGAGACTCTAGCTAAAGAAAGCATGATGGCTGGACACTGGTAGCTCGTGTCTGCAATCCTTAGATACTCAGGAGGTAGAGTTTGGAAGGATCACAGTTCCAGGCCTGCACAGGTAACTTCCCTCTCAACCAACAGTTCAGTGTATTGGTGTGCATCTGTCATCTTAGCTACAAAGGGAAGCTTAAAACAGAACAATTGCTGTCCAGGCTGGCCTGAGGTGGAGGGGTGGTGGAATGTTGGGGGAAAGCAGACTTTTTCTTTAAAAAAATATATCAGAAATGCTGGGCACTGGTGTCTTACATCTGTAATCCTGGCCACTCAAGAAGCTGAGATCTGAGGATTGTGGTTTGAAGCCAGGCTTGGGCAGGAATGTCCATGAGACTTCTTAAGTCAAATTAATCACACACATCCACACAAAAAAAAGTGGAAGTGGAGCTGTGGCTCGAGTGGTAGAGAGGAAGAAGGTATGAGAGGGCACCTGGGCCCAGTGGTGGTGCACATACACAAAAATAATCAGAGCAAAAAGAGATAGGAGGCATGGCTCCAGTTGGTAGAGTGCTGCTTAGAAGTGTAAAGCCCTGAGTTCAAATTCCAGCACAACCAAAATAAAAAGAATGAGTAAATAAGAAAAAAAAGAGAACCAGAAGAAAAGTTTTAACGGGGGGTGTGTGTGCGTGTGTGTGTGTGTGTGTGTGTTTGCTGGTCCTGGGGCTTGAACTCAGAACGTGGGCGCTGTCCCTGAGCATTTTTGTTCAAGGCTAGCACTCTACCACTTGATGAGCCACAACTCCATTTCTGGCTTTTTTTTTTTGGTGGATAATTTGGAGTAGGAATCTCATGGACTTTCCTACCTGGGCTGCCTTCAAACTGAGATCTTCAGATCTCAGCCTCCTGAGTAGCTGGGATTAAAGGCATGAGCCACTAGGGGCCAGATACAAATTCTATTTTTATTTATTTATTTATTTTTTTGTCGGCTTGAACTCTGGGCTTGGGCGCTGTCCTTGCGCTCTTCAGGTCAAGGCGAAGTGCTCTATCGCTTGAGCCTCAGTGCCACTTCCGGTTTTCTAGTGGTTTATTGGAGATAAGAGTCTCACGGACTTTCCTGCCAAGACTGGCTTTAAACCACGATCCTCAGATCTCAGGCTCCTGAGATAGCTAGGATTACAGGCGTGAGCCACTGGCACCCGACTCTATTTTTTTTTTTGGGGTCCGGTCGTGGGGCCTGAACTCTGGGCCTGGGCGCTGTCCCTCAGCTCTTCAGCTCAAGGCTAGCGCTCTACCACTTGAGCCACAGCGCCCACTTCCGGCTTTATTCTTTTTGCTTATGTGGTGCTGAGGAATTGAACCCAGGGCCTTGAGCATGCAAGGCAAACGCTCTACCACTGAGCCACCTTCCCAGCCCTATTTTTTTTTTAAATCAGAAGAAAGCCAATTTTCTCAGAGTATTGGGTAGGAGAGGGCAGCCCAAATAAACAAAACCTACACATCATCCCTCAACACAACGTTTGTCTACCCAGAAAGGAAATTTCCTTCCTCGCCAAAACTTTTCATAAAGCTCTGAAGACTCAAATAGCTTTGAGTCTTTTAGCCTCTCCTATCAGTAAGAGCTTGATGAGAAAGGATCCAGTGTAGCAGGTCCATAGTTCTCACATGGGGCCTCTGGCTCAACACAAGGCTCAGGTGGCCATGGGTCTGAGGGCCAGTCACACTGATGATGCCCATGGGTTTGCTTCCGTCCTTCATTCACTCACTAAAACAAGATCTTGCAACCTCAAGGACTTCGCTCTGCCTCACCTGGACTTGGGATTCAGTAGATTTTGCTGTGATTTGAGCTTCAGGGTGAACACATTCTTGGCGTGTATGTGGCCGAGGGCTGCGGAGACAAGAGACAGGGACATGAGGAGCGGGCTCTTGCACATGGTGGGAAGTACTCACACATCTCAGTTAATTATTTCTAGAGATGAGTCTCTTAGACGTTCCTGCCAGGGCTGGCTTTGAACCCTGATCCTCAGATCTCAGCTCTTGAATAGCTAAGATTACAGGCATGAGCCACCAGCACCCGACTTGGCCTAAGTTTTTGTTTTCTTCTACTTCTTCCTTTATTTCATCTTCCCTCCCTTCCTCAGTCCCTCCCTCCTTTCCTTCCTTTTTCTTTTTCTTTTGTAGTTGGATTTGAAATCAGAGCCTCATACTTGCTAGGCAGACACTCTATCACTGGAGTCATTCCTCTAATTCCTTATCCCTTTTGCTTTATTTTTCAGGCAGTCTTAAACATCTTTGCCTGGGCTAACATTGAACTGTGATCCTCCTGATCTTTGCCTCTTGAATACCTGAGACTACAGGTTTGAGCCACTAGGCCTGGCCTTTCCCACCATTTTTGAATGAGCAGGCCCTGAGTGGCTGAGTAGTTGGTAGGAGTCAGGAAATTCAATTTAGACACCAAATGTGGCAGGACACCTCTGTGGCTAGGGGATCCAGGACAGCAGAGGTGAATCTGGGGATGTGTTAAATAGATAGCTTGTGCAGGACTTCTGCATGCAGGGTATTGTATAGTATGCAGCCAGCTAAGCCTGGCATCATCTCTGGGAAGCTTTCTTTCTTTTTTCATTTTTTGTCTGTCATGGGGCTTGAACTCTGGGCCTGGGCGCTGTCCCTGAGCTCTTCAGCTCAAGGCTAGTGCTCTATTACTTGAGCCACAGTGCCACTTCTGGTTCTGTGGTAGCTAATTGGAGATAAGAGTCTCACGGACATTCCTGTCTAGGCTGGCTTTGAACTGTGATCCTCAGATCTCAGCCTTCTGAGTAGCTAGGCGTGAGCCACTGGTGCCTGGCTTTGGAAAGCTTTCTTAGAACATCTGGCTCTGCCTTCAGACAGCTGTCCTTGGTTCCCAACATGGCCACATGCTACAACTTGCTTTGCCCCATAAAGTTCACTTTTTTCAAAGGCTGAGTGTTGGGGCTCACTTGGGTCCTATGGACAAAAAGCCTGGCACAATGCCTGGCATACACTTGGTCCTCTACAGTGCTGGCTCCCTTCCCAGGGTCTCCTCCTGATACAGCCTCCCCAGAGCCTGGAGTCTTGTAGCCAAGAGGCTTTCCTCTACCATGGACTCAGGGCTCAAGGACCCCTGCTTCCAACAGGGCAGGCAAATGGGCCCTGTGTGAGGCATAGGTGGGTACCTTTGTAGAGGTCAAAAGGCTGAGAGTTCTGCACAAGCCGGTGGCTTTGTGGCATCCAGGTCATATTGGAGGTATAGAGTTTGGGGATCTGAATGTGATGTCCATTTGGGATGGCAAACGTTTCACAGGCCGCCTGGAAGATAGAACAGATTAGCATGAATGGTCCATTGTGACCACCAATCCTGGGCTACCAATTTTGGGGTCTTCACCCTGGGCCAGACAGAACTGAAAAGCTTCCTGGAATATCATTTTGGGGGGAGGAAGGAACTAGTACTAGTGCTTGAAATCTGGTGTCTGGGAGCTTAGCTTTTTTAGCTCAAGGTTGGCACTCTACCACTTAAGCCACAACTCCACTTCCAGCTTTTTGGTGGCTACTACTATTACTATTGATAATAAGAGTCTCATGGACTTTCCTGCCCAGGCTGGCTTTGAACCTTGATCCTCAGACCTCAGCCTCCTGAGCAGCTAGGATTACAGGTGTGAGCCACTAGCACCTGGGGCTTCCTCAAATATTGAATCATACTCCTCTGATTGGTACTAAGAACTCCAGGAAGAGCCTGGGTCTGATGCCCAGCAGTCATTGCCACGATTAGCTACCCAGAGACCCAGAGCTGGACCTGGAAAGCTTAACTGTTTGGGCTCCTGTTCCCAGCTCTGTAGGGCTGAGGAACACTAACACAAGAATAACAGATATCCTGAATTATCAGTGGGAAAGGGCCCCAAGCTCAGCTATCTTCTCCTACTTCGAGGAGTGTGCACAATGTAGAGCTCTTTGGGGAAGTTGTGGGCAGAGCAGGCTGGACCTGAGCCCTGAAGCCTGTAGCTCTGGCTTATACCTGGGCCACTACTGCAGGGCAGTCAAACACCCCGCACAGAGATTCTTGGGCATGGACGTATGGCATCCTGTCTGTGCGGTGGTCCAGCTCTGGCTGGAACTGACCTTGAAGGCTTGCACGGCCCAGCTGCGGAAGGCATCCTCTTGCCCACTGAGCTCATCCCCTTCCCCCGTCGGGATGAGCTGAGAGGCCCCCAGGTGGGACAGCTTCTGGTCAATGTCATGGGCAAAAGCACAGAAGCGAGGGTACATGCTGGAGCCAAGGCCAAATACAGCGTACCTGCCAAGGACAACACACGCATGAAAACTCCCGCTGCACATGATGGGGCACGGTGCCATGTGGTCATTGCATGCACACAGCACCTTGTGCCAAGGGCCTGCTGGACCCTCTCCGTTGACCAACTCCTCTGCTTCCCCTTGGCACTGGCCCTCAACACCAACCCTCTATGACCCACACATGCGTGGCCTGCAGACCTGTCAGGAGGACTTGGTTTTCCACGTGGAGGATAAGTCTAGACCAGGGCTCTCTCTAGGCCAGAGGAGCTCTGAGGAGCCCCTCCATGCGTACCAGGTCCCAGGTCCTGATCCCAAACTCCAGGCCCTGGAGGCAGCATTCAGCCAAGTGAGACAGCTTACCTGAACGTACTGGACAGGGCTTTCAGAGTGAAGAGGGATTTCTTCAGTGCCTAGGAGAGGAACCACAGTACTTGGGCACTGTCCTTTAGCTTTTGGGCCCAAGGCTAGTGTTTTATCATTGAGCCATAGCTCCAACTCTGGCTCTTTTGGTGGTTAATTAGACATTAAGAGTCTCTTGAGCTTTCCTGTCTGGGTTGGCTTTGAACTGTGATCCTCAGATCTCAGCCTCTTGAATAGCTAGGATTACAAGTGTGAACCACAGGCTCCTTTCTTATGATTAAAAGAAAAATTTTGCCAGGCACCTGGCCTGTAATCCTAGCTACTTAGATACTGAGATCTGAGGATCATGGTTCAAAGCCAGTCTGGACAGGAAAGTCTGTGAGACTCTCCAATCAACCACTAGAAAACCGGAAGTGGCGCTGTGGCTCAAGTGGTAGAGCACTAGCCTTGAGCTGAGGAGCTCAGGGACAGAGCCCAAGCCCAGAATTTAAGCCCATGACTGACAAAAAAAAAAAGAAAGAAAAAAATTGAGTCAATTCACAGAAGTCTATAAAGAAGTATGTTGTGGGTAAATCAAGATGTGAATGAGTCAGGGTCATCTGAGCACATCCCTCCAT